AACACGATCTCCGGTTGCAAGCGACGGATGCTCATGCGCGATGTGTTCCCGGAGACTAGAAGAAGACTGGAACGGCTTATTGCAACCATCGACGCACTGCCACCATTTTCGATGCATCTGAGTCTCATGACGGAACCACTCGTGTCTTGATTCGTATGTCCGGTCGGGCATTTCACAATCTTCCACGGTGCATAACTGCTGGCTGTTAGTCGGTCACACTGGAACGTCATGAGCAACTCACGTATGGCTGCAGGTCTCGGTAGACATGCTTCTGCCATGCTTTGACATGTCGAACTGCAGTGTAGCGGAAGCATAGTTTGCATACGAAAGGCTCGCCGTCACGGCCTTCCATCGGCAAGGGCGGTGGACGTAACTTCTCCGGATCATGACCGGAGGATGCATAAGAAGTGACAGACTGTGTTTCATCGTATTCGTCTTCCTCTTCAAGATCGGCAATATTGACGCTAGCCTTCACAGCTGGTGGCAAGGAAGATGCTACTGTACTCTCCACTTCACGATGCGCTCCCATGTCTGGAAGCGTGCCTCTTCTTGTTAGGCCTTGCTTGTACTTCTTCGAGTGATCATCGCGGTAACGTAGGTATTGTCGGCGACGCGAGATGGCTTTGCCCAGCCGGGCCGTGAGATATTCTGGCGCCTTGGGAAATTTTCCACGGACATGAGCGATGTCGAACGGTTCGTAATAAGCCGTATCTATGTGCGCGGATTCTTTGAACTGATTATGCGGAGCTGGATTTCGAATGGCGACTGACAGCCGCATGAGGCAGGCATTCGTCTCTTTCAGTTCAGCTGCAAGTTGGGCAAGCTCCGTTGTATCCGGCTTTTGAAGGCCATTGGCACTATCTTCCTCCGTATCTGACTCCGAATCAGACATATCTTCCCAGGATGGTCGCTGGCCCGTCACTATCTCCGACACCTCGTTCAAGACAGCCTTCATACCCTGGACAAGCTGAATAACTTGGTCACGTATGTGAGATGCTTCACGAAGCTTGTAGCCGAGAGAACCTCTTCCCGTACGATGCGCACCTACATTCGACGACCATAGCCTGAATCCACCAAATATATCTTTCAGGGTAGCTAGCGGGAGCTTGGTCTTTATGCTTGATTGGGCGCTTGAAAGCTTGTTGCACACTGCTTGGAAGTCTTTTAGGCAGTGGTGGACATTGAGTGCTACCAAAGAAAGATCGTCGGATTCCGTGACTTCCTCACGGGAAGATGCCGCTGCGACGAGCACTTCAGCTGCTTGGGTCGCCATGGTCGATGCTTTGTCTTGATGCGATACTCCACGTATGTTCGATTGTCAAAGATAAGTCGAGGGCTATTCCAGGAAACAGCACCGGATAATCGTTCGGAAGTGTATGGAGTTGCTACCAGCCAACTCTGATCGTCTAAAAACTCTGTGGGACGCGGTTCCTGCGGGTGACGTTCCGCGCATGTTTCGCGGTACTCAAAAGATCAAAACTCAGGCATCAGAGCAGTTCTGAATAGATTCGAGATAACGCAAGGAGTAAGATAATGAGGGGGTTGATAGTTCCCGTTGAGAAGCGTCCAGCCTGGGTGCTTCCGGGTAATACTGTTGCACGACAAACGTGGAAGTGGGGGCCACGTTTGCGGGCACCCATGCGCAGCGCAGCCTTGGAACGGCACAGCTGACCTCCACTGTCAATGACAACATCGATCTGGAACAGCAAGAAACAGTTGAGCAGCTTCACAAACCTTTTCGCTTCTGTTAAGCTTACCGCGCGAGTCGCTTGCTCACCACAATGTCGGGCCTTGAGGTCGCTGGCATTGTGCTTGGAGCGTTGCCGCTTATTATCTCAGCCTTGGAGCACTATGCGCAGGGTGTCAGCACAGCCAAACGATTCTGGCACTTCAAATCCGAGTTGAGATTCTTGTTACTTCGAATCAACACGGAGAAGGTCACATTTGTCAACACCCTTGAGCATCTCCTTACAGGAATCGTCAGAATTGATAGAATGGCAGAGATGTTGGCGAATGTAGGCGGTCAGGATTGGCAGGACGAGACTATCGAACAGTGTTTGAAAGATAGGTTACGCGGCGCGTATGAGGTGTACTTGGCCAATGTGCAGGGAATGGCAGGAGCGCTACAAAAGATCATGGACAAACTAGCGCTGGGCCCTGACGGCAAGGTAAGTCATCATCCCTATTTTCTCATACCTAGTGCGGCGCGTATGGCATTGTGTTCTTGTCGACGCATGGGCTACAAAGCAAATGCCTCCGAACCCACTTTATGTACTTTTTCGCCGTTTGTTTATTGGCCCAGCCGTCGGTTCGCTTCAGTAATATCTTTTTCAGTGGGATGCTATGAACTGACTTGGCTTAGCCTCCTTTCTCAGACCTCAAGCTGTTCAAGAAAGAGTTCCAAAGACTGAAGTTTGGGCTTAGCAAATCGGAATACACGGAACAACTGAACGATCTGAAAACGCACAACCAGTATTTGTCCAACCTCACCAAGCAGTCCCTCGAACTGGAACCGTCGCGCAAAAAATCTAAATCAAGCCAGTGTCCCAACTTTCGTGTTCTACAAGAGTATGCACGCTCCTTGTACGAAACTCTGAAATCAGGATTGCGATGCGGTTGTAGTGGTCACGCAGTCAAGTTACGACTGGAAAGTCGGTGCCAGACTTCGCAGCAAGTAGAGGATTCACAAGATCATACGCCGTTTCGTGTGATATTTACAGACGAAAGTGTGGGAACATCGTCACCGCGACCAATATCATGCAACTATTGGAAATGGACTGAAGCGGACATCCGGTACATCGCCGATAAGCCTGACAAGAAGCCGCCATACGTGAACAGAGCTCTCACTTCGCCCAAGCCTCTAAAAACGGTCCGGTTCTTGCAGACTGAGACTCGATCGAGCAGCAGTAGCACTATCACGCTCGTCGAAAGCCCAGGTACATCTAACATGAGTCCTACGCTAGCACACATAGAAGACCTGTGCAAAGCAGTCACAGCGTTTGGCGATACGAAACGCGACCTATGTATCGGCTACTTGGTCGACCACGTCAATCGAAAACACGGCATCTACCCACTGGATGTATCAAGCGGCTCTGATCAGCAACAATGGATAGCTTGTTCATTGCGGCAAGTGCTTACAAGGCATGCAAACGTCGCCAGGCCATTGCGACATCACGATAAACTTCGAATCGCAGTCAATCTGGCTTCAAGTGTGCTCCAACTCTACAGGACGCCTTGGCTGGACGAGCACTGGAGCGATAAAGACGTTTACTTCATTCATCGCCCAGGAGTTCCGTTGTCTGCGCTCTACGATCATCCATTCGTATACCGCAAATTATCAACACCATGCACGACCCAGTCCGTAGGTCCCCAAAGAGCGGCTGGGAAAGTCATACGCAACCAGACTCTCTTCACGCTTGGGATATTGCTTATCGAACTTCTATACGACAAGCCAATCGAAGAACTTCGAATACCGCGAGACCAAGACTGTGAAGGCACACCAGGGGTTGTTTGGTGTACGGTTGACCGGCTCGTCAAAGAAGAAATTGAACATGAAGCTTATCCACCTTACGTGGCCGCGGTCCGACGATGTATCTGGTGTGATTTCAATCGGAAAGAATCTAGCCTTGACGATGAGGCTTTCCAACAGGCAGTTTTTGAAGGGGTGGTGACGCCGCTGGAGCAGTTGCTCCAACAGTTTCTGCGTGGCGATTGATGAGATCTGCCTAGCTTTTCTTTCCTAGCTTATTCGCTCCTGCAAATCGAGGGTAGCGCATCGAAAATTTCAAATACACGAAAAAAGGTTGATTTAAACGATACAACGTCGATTGGCGGTGGTTTGAAATATGGAGTATGAGCGCATCACAGTGTTCATGACCAACATCAGGGTATCAGCTCTTATGAGGCAGTTCTTGCTGATGGCAATATAACGACTGAAGCAGTGCCGAAGAAGCGATCTCGTGTTGGCCACGAGAGGGGTTCTAAGAATAAACACACCCAATACGAGCAGGAGACCGACCACTGAACCATTCGCGTGATGTTCCTACTTCTAATCCTAGAGAAAACAACGAGAGCGGACAAAAGGAGAAAAAGGAGGTCGGGTGGTTCTGGTCAGGCTAGATGGCTGAAACGATGCACGAGACTGTGGCGAAGTATAGGCATGACATGGATTTTCTCGCAATTCTCCGGAGTAGCTCTCGAATAGGCGTTCAGGTCGGGCTAGATTGCTCAAATGATGCAAAGAGCTGCGGAGTAATATGGGCATGGTATGATTTTGAACACTTTAGTTCTTAGAAGGGCGTTCTGGTCAAACATCTCGGAACCACATACCCCGCTCAATATCATCGTCTCCATTTTTCCCTAGGGGTAGCGTATTCCCCGTGGGGATCTTCCCCAGATTCCATGTCACCTAATTCGACTTTCGTAGTCACGATTTCACATGTCGTTGCCCATGCTGTCAACCGATTGGTGGCGGACATAAGCTCTGGCTAGTATCTTGGTATTTCCGAAGTTCTCGCCGGAATTCATGGATATTTCCAAGGCTCGAACAGGCCAGACCCACTCATGGTCTTCTTTCCAGAGAGGAACGCAGTCGAGAGTGGAGCTTTCGTGGTTCCTGACAATCAAAATAAGCTTTCGCATTCGTCTATAGGACCCGACGCAGCGGGCGCTAAATTCGACACCGAGGCTCCGAGCTTGCGTATGAATGGCCGTACCTGTCCGATGGTAGAACTTGGCCGTCACGACCAATCGGCATGCCTTTAGTCGGGCTCGTAAATAGAAGGCAACCAATCGGCCAGTCGTTAGTCGACTGTGCTCGTGTAGCTTTCGAGATGCTCATGTGACGACATGAACGGGATTTGACACCTAAGGCCAGAGGTTGTTATTTAGGTGTTTGAACAGGAAGGGGAAAGATGGACATATAAGGGGAATGTTCTTGCGCACATTAAGACATCGCTATCATCACATTCTCTCACGCATCGCATCCCATTCACTCCAACATGAGGACTTCTGCCATCAAGGCCGCGCTTTTTGCGCTCGTCGGACTCACTGCTGCCGCTCCCAGACCTGGTCTACTTGGTTCACTCCTTGGAGCTGGAGGCAGCGCCCCCATCCCTCCCTCTGATGATCCATTCTACACACCACCTGCTGGCTTCGAGTCTGCAAAACCTGGTGCTATCTTGAGAAGCCGACCAGTACCCAGCGCCCTCTCGCTGTTTCAAACCATTCCTCTCAACTTGAAGGGTGCCTGGCAACTGCTCTACAGGACCACTGACTCGCTCGGAAACCCGGTGGCCACAATCACTACGGTAATGGTGCCAAAGAACGCGGATTCAAAGAAGCTGCTCTCTTACCAGGTCGCTGAAGACAGCGGTGGTGAGATCAACTGCGCACCATCTTACACGCTCCAAACAAAGTCCAACACCACATATGCCGGAACAGGAGGTATTGAAGCCGCCCTCATTGCTGCCTCGCTCAACCAGGGCTGGATCGTCAACTCGCCGGATTGGGAGGGACCCAAGTCCACTTTCGTCGCTGGATTTCAAGCAGGCTACGCAACTCTTGATGGTATTCGTGCGGCACTCGCTTCCGGCGCCACCACCGGCGTCGACTCTTCTGCAAAGGTCCAGATGTGGGGATACAGTGGCGGCGCTCTAGCCTCAGAGTGGGCCGCCGAACTCCAAGCCAACTACGCCCCAGAGATCCCCTTTGTTGGCATGGCCATCGGCGGTGTGACTCCCAACGTCGAAAATGTTTTCAACACCATCAACAAGGGACTCTTCGCTGGTCTCAGTGCTGCCGGCTTCTTGGGCTTGGGAAACGCGTACCCTGATTTCGGAAAGTACGTCCAAGACAGCCTCAAGCCAGAGAAGGCTGATGCTTTCAACCAAGCTGGTCGCCAGTGCTTCTACGCCGACGTGAAGACGTACGCGGGACAGGATATCTTCACCTACTTCAAGCAAGGACAGGCGATCTTCGATGGTATGTACCCGTTGTGAGAAACGTTGATCCTGACGATGACACTGACTTACAAATCTTCACAGACCCTATCGCGGAAAACACCATCAGGACCGGTGCGACCATGGGTCTCCACGGCACCCCGTCCATGCCCATTTTCGTGTACAAGGCCGTCAAGGACGAGATCTCGCCCATTGCCGACACTGATGCGCTCGTGGACCAGTTCTGCAAGGCGGGTGTTTCTATCACATACGTCCGAGACTCTTTCGGCGAGCACTTCACCCAGGCGGCGACTAGCACCGGTGATGTTCTCAACTACCTCACCGACAGGTTTAACGGTGTTCCTATCTCGGGCTGCAGCATCCGCAACGAGTTCTTGGATCTTCTGGATGCTGGCTCGCCTGGAAAGCTTGGTGTTTCGCTTGTCATGGTTCTTCTGAACGCTTTGGGTGTTCCGCTTGGTCCTAACCACTTCTAGTGGTAGACTATGAGCTGTATGAGGATGAAGGTGGGTGAATATGGTTGTGGTAGCTTCTGTAGCTAGCGGTAAGATTCATTCGTAGGATTACTCGCTAGTTTCGCGCAGCGTAGTAGCTGTAGAGCCTTTTACCAATGTTAAGAGAGCAATTTACTAGCAACACCTGGTTCCGTTCCAAACTATTGTAGTGCACTGTTCGCTCGATCATGGTGAGCGTTGAGAGATTGACGGTCTCTCGTTGACGCACATCTGTTCATCGAGAACAGTGCGCTACCGACTAGATGTTGGCTTCCAGTGATGAGAGTCCGCATGCCACCAGCTTCCGTCCCTAGCTCTCTAGCAGCATCTAAAGCCTTCTCTACGCTTAGTTCGTAAACTATGCGACTATCCTGGTGGTATCTCGACCATATCTCGCCGAACGCCTGTTGCAAAGCATCTTCCGACTCATTAATCACAGCTGTGTCGCAGTTAGTGGGCGAGCTTCATAAGCACAATGAGAACTTTACCTGCTGGAGAGGCCAAGTCCTGCTGTGGATCGTAAAGAGTGAAGATGACATGATCGATATGAATAGGGCTGAGGGCAATGGCCAGTCGTTCGAGGACTAGTTTCGCATGTCTTTGTTTCGATACTTGGCTGAAGACCAAGATGCTTACGGGAGATGCACTAATAGCGTCAGTTGTTAGCGGAGGTATGTGGCCCGGCTGGTCACGCACTTGTCTCCCTGGGAGCTCTCGATGAACCACTCAGCTGCCTTGCTAACGCTCATCTCGTTGTGCGCACCGTCCAGAAACCAGCTTAATACCCCATCGACAATGATTTGAAAGCGCGCAGGCCATGTAAATTGGCTTATAGCCTGCGAAATATCCACATCCGATAATAACGGAGTATTTTTGGGAGCTCTATCTCTGAGGAGACAGCGTGCAGCAGCAAGCGCAACCGAAAAATTCGTACGCTGAACATCTGGCTTCAGCTGCGGCACATGTACTGGAAGCTCCGGATCATTTCCGATAAACTGGATGTTGATGCCTTTCTCCGATGCGCGATTCCGGAGAATATCAGCAGCGGACGGTTCCTGGGGGGACGAGAAAGCATAGGCTCCGCGCTTGAAGATTCCTGATTTATGCCAGGCGATGTCTTTGATAGTGGGTCCTAATTGCTGGATGTGATCCATGCCAAGGGTGGTTATCACGGTTGCGACTGGATGCTCTATGACGTTAGTAGCATCATATTCCCCTCCGTGGTGAGTCTCGAATACCGCTGCCTCTACGCCTTCTTTGATGAACGCGTGAAACGAAACTAGAGTAAAGAGCTGGAGATAACGAGGCAACTTGTCCGAGTCTCTCGATAAGATATCCCACACTTCAAAGAAGTACCTGGCGAAGAGCTCCCTGGTCAAGGGCTGGAAATTGATTCGTATCCTTTCTCCAGGGTAAATGAGATGCGGCGAAGTGTATAGACCTGTTTTCCGTGGCCATCCGGTCCTTTCCCCGTAAGCTCGAAGAATTGACTCGATAAAGGCACATGTACTGCCTTTGCCCTTAGTGCCGGCGACGTGAATGATGTTGAGGTCGTCGATTTCGGCAGTCTTTGTTTGTCAGTACAGCTCCAGAGACTGCTCACGAGGCATACCGAGTGACCGATCTGCTGTAGCCATTGCTTCATTCCGACTATACTCGGTGTACCCTTCAGTTCAGATTTCCCTTTCCCACCAGTGACACGGTCAGTATTTGGTGGTTCGCTTGCAGCACTGACAGTCTGTCTCGCTGGGCGTCGTCGGCTGTGAAGGATGGCGATTGCGTGCTGAACTGCATTAGCACGTCGGGCGATAGTCATGCCACTGAATCCCACCTTGTAACTTCTGTCAACAGAACGCGAAAGCATCACTTCGCTCATTGTCGGACTTCTTTAGGGGTACGATAACCTTTTGCGATGAGGATGATCGTGATAGGCTTTATAGTGTCGTGTTCGCAACGGTGAGCGAGTTGACTCCACGTTCGCCTCCTGATTTCCTCCTTTGAAGCGACAGTTTGGCATCGTTTGTGTCGTTGAATTGAGGAAGTCACCGGTGACTCCTCATCGTTTGGGCAGTCCTACGGGCCATCATCACAAATTGCTCCCTCAGCGATCTGAGCGCATCTCCGTACAACCACAACACGGCCCACAACAGCTTCTTCAACTTCCAGCTGCCTACTGGCGAAGGATTCAACATCGTCATCAACCTATAAAAGCCTGAGGCTCATACGATCGGAAATGACTGCAGCATCTCTTTTGTATGCACATGCGGCAATCCAGACAACGTGCAGTCTTTCTCATCTGTCATCACGGGTGCGTTGACTAAGGCCGTGGAGCGATTCAAGACAACCAAGACGGGACCCTATCATGGAGGCAACTGAGGTCAAATGGATGAAGGTTGGGTTCTACAAGATTACGAGTTCGAGTATCTTGTCTACGCTTATCCCCAGACGGGCAAGATATTGCTGACGGTCGAACCGGAAGGACACCCCGAGCTCGCTGCTGTTCAAAGCATGCTTTCGTGGAGTACGCAGTGTGACTCGAAGTGTGGTGCGTTTTGTGGGTCGGCTAGCGGCATGGTTGCGGACTACATGGTGGGAATTGTTGGGCTTCCGCCTGTGGCAGCTATCGTCTGTTCATTCTGTTAGACACCTCATCTCCTAGATATCAAAGTGTAAATTCGGATAGGGGACCGCCTCGGTTAAGAGCATCAGTTTGTCTCATCAGGACCCAGGTAGCGAGTCAGTGTGTGTTTATGGCTCCTGTTTTCTTCGGGAGTCCACTGTCGTTACAGAGAGGTTTTTCCATATGCAAGGAAAAGGTTAAAGTACGGCCAGAGAGACAGATTATCGATAGTATCGAAATCGCGCATTCATTATCGATAATCAAAACCCCTGCGCAGCATAGACAATGGTGGTGAAGTTAATGCAAGCAATACACGGGCGTGGGCGAGAGATTATGTGGGGAAGAGGCATAAATAACCACGCCGTCGTGGATTAAAGCCTGAGGCATCCACATTTAGCAGCGAGGTCCCAATTCGGCCCCGGGTAGCGTCTTAATTTACGAGAACCGGCCGTGATTGGATTGTGCCTGTCGTCTTGGGCGGTGGAGACGTTGCGCTAGTCAGCTGCAGGCAATTTCAGGGTCCGTTAGAGTCCTGTCCGGCGCTGATCAGGGAACATGGCGGCTGGAGAGAGGTGTGGCGAGCGACGGTGCCGGGCGTGGTGATGACAGTTTAATGTGTAGGGAGTGTCAATGGGGCGGCTGTGCAGCAAACAGAGGACATTGTATTGTTTGCATGGCAGGGTGGCGGCATTGTTGGGAGCCCTTGCCTATGGAGGCGGTCGCGACTGCCCCAGATCGATAGCGGCAATCTCGGCGGCAGGTACCAAGTACTACCAACGTCGCGGCCCCTCCCTCCTCTGTCGTCGCAGGGCAGCAGCATCGTGACCGTCCTCGTGCACTGCTCTGACTCTCCGGGCTCCAACAGAGTCGTCCTCGCACACTATCTGTCGCTCTTATTTGTCGCTGCACACCTTGGCCGCCGCCAGCCAGTCAGCGCGCGCTCAAAGTCAGTTTCCGGCGGCTGAAACGCTGCAAGGTCCAGCGTGCGTCCACCGCCCAGAGCAACACGGGCACCACGCTATTCCCCTGCGCTTCCTAGCTCCACCTCGGCCTCTCCAGTCCATACTCTCTAGGCGTGAGCGCAGACTATGTATACTCGCTGCCCGCCGCCATGACTGCCTCAAATCTCTCGCCGCCGCTGAATGTGAATGAGGATCTGCAGCACGACGATCTTGTCCAACGCCTGAAGTCCATGCCCACCACGAGCGCCCATACAGGCCCGATACCTCTCAAGAGCCCGAAGAAGGCACCGGCTCCTACAAAGCCCGCTGCAGAAGACGCATCCTGCTCACGCTCCAGCCCGCCCTCTGCCGCCGCCATGGGAGAAAGCAACACGCTCGCCCGCCAGCTCAGCAACGCGTCCGACGACAGCATGACCTCGCGCCGGCCCTCTACACCGCGCTCCCAGACAGACCCCCAGCCTGACACGCTCACGTCTCTGGCAGCCCTCACCACCCGGCCACGGAACCGCTCGCCCTACTCGCGCTCTCACCTCCGCTCCCAGAGCGGGTCTGCGTTGCCGAATGCGCCGCCTATGACACGGGCCCATTCGCTGCCTACAGTCATGCAACCCTCTGGCAATCTGATGCTCTCGCCTGGCCCGATGCCGCTCGCCCGCCCGGCTTCTCCTCTGCGCTCCCCCAAGCGGACCCGCAGCCCACGAGCACTGGAGCCACGGCCGCACTCAGTAGGAACCATGGAGCGGTACGGCTCGGGTATTCGTCCAGCCTCCATCGGCTCTTTTGAGGGCGTACCGAGCGTGTGCGACATATCAGAGGACGCCGAACTGGAACTCACGCCGCGCGTTGGCACCACCGTGTCGAGCCTCCACAGCAGCACAGGCTCGCTCTCCCGGCGACGCCGACCAGCTTCACCGCTATACCAGGTTACCGTACCCTTTGGCGCACCACCCACGAGCACCCCCTCTGTCAGCACGCCCACCTCCACTGCCTCCTCACCGCTCCTCGCACCTTCCAGGTTCAACGAGAACTACCCCATGTCCCATGCCTCTTCGTCCGTGCCATCCACCCCGACCTCGATGCGCTCCCGCAGCCCTTCCATCTCGTCTCTCGAGACCATCGAAGACAGCCCAGACGCAGAAGAAGAAGCCATAGAGGCTGATCGCCTACGGCGGCTCAAGGCTGCGGCGGACCGTGAGGACGGCGGAGATGCCAGGAGGTCCAGCCTAGATGTGCCCGAAAGTCGTGGGCGCAGTCTCGGCTTCGGCAAGCGCGACTCACGGAAGAGATGGAGTGTCTGCGGAGCTGAACGACGCGTCGACCTGGACCTGGACACTATATGGGAGGACTGAATAAACGACACATGAGTACTTCCCTTCTAGTACTTTCAGCGTCATTGCATTTTCAAGTATGCGACTTTGAGCGTACGGAGTTTTGGGGTTTGATTTCGGCGTACGGTTGGTCCTGCACCTTTTCCTTCTCACATTATGATCGTCATCCAACACGGCTCGGAACAATGCTCATGGATAGGACGAAGATGCACGTCTCTTTCACGCATATGGTATGATACATTTCAACGACACGACACATGGTCGCAGCATGATACCCTCTTCAGGAACTATAGTTTTGCACAGCAGCACCGAGGCTATCCTATAGTATGACTGCATATAGTAACCTGCAATACAATACCGATTTGATCCAGCATACTGTTTACTCATCTGTTGACCTTTGCCCCTAGTGTCTAGTTTTGCCAACTACTGCCGCTTTGGGTAGTCGGAACAGTCGGCCAATGACATCACACTAGCAGCTTGGAGCTGAAGCTTCCTAGTGGGGTTGAACGCGACTGCCCCTCGACGCGAGCGACGTATTTATACCAGGTCAGTTCCTTCTCAAAACGAATACTCAAACCATCCATCAAACAGACACCGCCAACATGATCAATCTCGGAATCATCGGAACCAATTGGATCACGCACTCCTTCGTGGAAGCTGCGCACGCAACAGGCAAATACAGCCTCTCCGCCGTCTACTCACGGAAGGAAGAGACCGCGAAAGAGTTCGCATCCAAATACTCCGACAAGCAAATCACCACATACACCGACCTGAATGCATTTGCCCAAGATAAGATCGACACGGTCTACATCGCCAGCCCCAACATCCTACACTACGAGCAAGCCAAGCAGCTCCTCAACGCGGGCAAAAATGTAATCCTCGAGAAGCCATCGTGCAGCACCGTCGCCGAACTCGACGAGCTCTTTGCACTAGCAAAGTCGAAGAAGGTTGTTCTGGTTGAAGCCTTCCGTCACATTCAAGAAGCAAACTTCAAGTTGCTGAAATCCAAGATCTCGGACCTGGGTCCGCTATACGGCGCATCCATTACCTTTGCGCAGTACAGCAGCCGTTACGAAAAAGTACTCCAAGGCGAAGTCCCCAACATCTTCAACCTGGAGATGGGCGGTGGTGCGCTCGTAGACTTGGGCGTGTACTGCGTCGCAGCCGCCATCGACCTCTTCGGCGCACCCACCTCATCGCAATATTTCCCCGTGAAGATCGCCACAGGCGCGGACGGCGGCGGCCGCCTCATCCTCGCATACCCCACTTTCACAGTGCATCTCTGCCACAGCAAGATCTACAACTCCGACGCCCCGTCTGAGATTTACGGGGAGAAGGGCACGCTGATTGTACCCACTATTACGGATATCAACAAGATTACCTTCTGGGACCCGAAGAAGAAGACGAGAGAGGATGTGGCGGGAGTGAAGGAGCCTGAGAAGTTAAACTTGGCGGAGGAGGCGAGGGAGTTTGCGAGGTGTATTGAAGAAAAGGATGAGGCTGCGTTGAAGAGGTTGGAGCAGCACAGTAGAGATACGTTGGCGGTTATGGAGAAGGTGAGACATGATAACGGTCTCATATTTCCTGGGGGCAAGTAGATGTGTGTTTGGGGTAGGCGGGGAGTGGTAGATGGAAGTAGTGGCATATATGGATCTGCAGATGATCAATTGGATGTTCCTTCTTCCCATCCTTCGTTCATAGGCTGCTTGCTTCCACCGGTGAACATGAGAAAGCAAGACGAGGCTGGGGTAGTTGGTGTGGATGATCATCTGGGAATAGCTTCGTCTGCGCCAGCATGCCGAGACGCTCTTTAGGTGTGGTAGATGATCGACATGGCAATCACGACATTCGCATGTGACCGCTTTGACCATTCCTTCTTCTCGTCCCTGCTTAGACTGTATGTTTCCACCGGTGAACATGGGGAAAGTAAGACGAAGTCAAGACAGTTAGTATAGTAGGCTGAAATAGGAATAGTACCATCTGCATGCGCTCCCTCAGGTTTGCTTCTTTGACTGGGCGGGGGAGGGGCGGTGGGGGAGGCGACATTTCTCGTCCTTTCGTTAGCAGACTGCCTGATCCTGCCGATGAACATGCCGCTTTCGGCATGGTGATTGAAACGGGAATGGTAACATCTGCATATGAACAGGCTGACCAGTTCTTTTCCCCTTCATGCTTCAATTGGTGAAGGTAGTTGGAGTAGTAGATGAAACAGTACTAGCAAAATCCGCATGTGATCACTTCCAACATTACTTCTTCTCTTCCTTCGCTCCTAGATCGCTCACTCCCATCGGTGAAGACGGAAACTAAGAGCCAGCTAGGAGAATTGCCATGGTATTCGAAATGGGAAACAGTAACATCCGCATGTGATCACTTCTCACATTCCTTCTTTCCCCCACAGCTTCCTTCCTTCGTAGGCTACATGCTTCCGTCGGTTAATATTACTCCAGCTGGATAGCCGTAGTATACCAAGATACACGTCCCGGTCCGTTGGAGGGTGTTCACAATGCTGATCTCTTGGATCGGTGACCTAGAGGCTAAAAGATCTGATAAGCCGAAGGTAGGAGTGGGGCGAGGCTGCACGACATACTGGAGTAGATCATCGCGCATGTGGCATGTGCGCCTGCGGATCTGACAGGGTAGGTGTGGGAAGTAAGGCTGTATGGGAAGTCACTTGATACGCATTGCATGCGAAGCTGTCACAAAAAGCGGTATGCTGTCTGTACGGCAGAAGATCTGGCATGAAGATCGTGGGTAGGGTGCAAGACAGTATTGGGTGATGGCTTCACACGCGCTCCCTGTGGAGTTGTCAAGGAAAGGCGCTGTAAATTATGTACGGCGGAGGATGCAGAATGACAGTGGTGGGTAGGTAAGGTTGTGTTGGTGATGATTTGTTATACATCTTGCGGGACTGTCACGGAAGAGAATGCGCAGGTTCAATATTGTAGTGAACAAACTTCATCATTGAATTGAACCGGGTTGTTTCGCTGTCTAAGCTACTACCATACCCGTCCCTTCTCCTCAAACTTCTCTCCATAGAATAGAATCTCGTACAACGAGTTATGTCGACTCTAACAAGTCGGCAGAATCGAAACCCTCTCCCATCCCATCTCGCAAATCCTTGCAAGTTGAAGTCGCGGCTTCGGTATCATTTCGTATCGGTGTTCGTAATCGTACATGTGTTGGGTATTCTGCTCTCCTGCTGCCTCTCGACTCGACGGTGAAGAGGGTGTCGATGTCGCACTCAGTCCTTTTGCCGCTCAAGTGTGTGTTGTGCGTTATGAGGGTAGCGGGGGAAGAGGTCGGTTTGGTGGTGGGCCCGGGCAGGGAGGAAGCGTTGTCAAGTATTTTGATGGCATGTTGATGATGTGTGTGGTGGTTGTTTGGTTGGCGAGGTTGTGAGACCTCAGTGTGTGATGTATGATTTGGCTGCTGTGTGGATAGCAGTTGACGAAGTCGTTGAAGTGTGGGTGAGACTTGTAGAAGATGTAGAGAGGTTGTTGAATCAGATAAGCTGATGAGAGTGATGAAAGCTGATGGTTGGATGGCGATCATCTACAAGGGAAAAGTACCCTCCATATATACACACGCACCCCTACACGTCCTCAACACCAATCAAGGGGTTAAATCTGAACCCCCCAGTTCCAAAAGAATAGCGCATCGTCGCAATCAACGAACGATGAGAAAAGCACCGCCGATCGCCCGTAACGATCAGCATCCCATACCCACCGTAGTTCCATCAGAAGCAACGCGTCCGTATTGGGATTGGCCTCACCACCATCAGCGACAAACGTTAGCCAGGTTCAGGGTGTCTGCTTCCGCGGGAAACTGACCAGACTACGTCTGCTCGGTACCTTACAACGAGATGTGACGACAGGGAAACAAGGTTCAAGACCCTACTTCCCCCTCGGGGCGACTAGCATGCTGCTTTTTCTTTTCGCGAGCAGAGCTAGGAGTTTGAGAGGCACCGAGCGGAGAGAGAGGTGACTAGAAGCTTGCTTTTTCCCCCTCTAGCGCGCTTTTTCAATGGAACGGGAAAGACGAAGAGAGGGCCAAACGGGGGTTATGTGCTCAATACAGCTGTCAGTGCGAGCAAGCGTCTCGACTGGTCTGTCTCCACGTGCTTTCATGCTGTCTCAGACTGCGGGTGGCGTGGACGGTGGAGAGCTGTTGACTCTTCCTTCACCGCGATACTGCATCGAGATTTCAGCCTCTCCCGCCACGCCTTTTCCAAAAGGAACAGCCACACCCTCTGCCACGCAGCGAGGTGTTTCGATGCAAAACGGTCCAGACGCGTTCTTTCCTATACAGGGTGTCTGAGCTGGGCGAGTAGGAAACGTTCTCGTCGGTACCGAGCTGGACTCAACAGTAACCCGTAGCCTGTGGCTAAATCTCCGCGCCTTGATTGTCAGCACAAAAACGTCTCAGCTCGTCCTTGTCTTCCTTCTTGGTGATCAGGCCATCATCGATTCATCGATGGGAGAGAATACAGGCTCGTTTCGCTTAGGGTCTTGGGCGCGAAACTTTCAGCCCTTTCTTCCTCCCTCTTACGCCGAACCTTCCTCAGGCAATAGTCCCTGCGTCTCTTTGTACGGATATCATGCCATGTCCCCTCTTTCGTCGGTCACTCCGAAATTTTACTGTCTTAGTCTTCGTTCTTGGCGTATTTACACGAAGACTAATCACGTCCGTATAGGCCCGACAAGTTTGGTCGTGGTAGAGATTGCGCGACGAGCAGACTGGTGGAAGTTACTCAAGCGCATGTATTTTAGCACCCGTGAGCTTATTTAGTGATGCTGGTGGCTTCACGCGCCGAGTGAGCCGTTGAAACAGCGCGGATGGGAGTGAACGTGGTGGAGAATGGTGGTTCCGCAATGTTCAGGCTGAAAGAAATGATGTGAGGCTTAGCGCATATCCCAAGTGTACCAAAAGTCGTGATGAGTCTGCGCCGGATCGGACTCCCGTCGACCAATCGTCTCGAAACTAGCAAACCTAGCTGATGACCGTCTCCCGCGGATCTGGCATATCTGACATCTGACGTGCCCGCGCATTTCTTGTCCGCCTTACTGCACGTGAAGAACTGTTCATGTGCACTGGCCATGTAGATGCCTTCGCCACTTGGGCCTCAAGATAGCCTGTCAACTCTTTTTAGATCTAGGACTAGGTGTAAGCGACCTTGCTCCGCGGGGTACACGTGGGTCGCCTGTCCCAATGTCGCAGAATGGCAGCCGTTCAAGACGCGCTTCGGGAGCGAGTCGACCGCTGCGACATCGTGTTGTGGATGCCGATGGTGCGAGATCCGACGCTGCCGCCCCGGCAGACTTCCCACGATCTGGGACGCCGAAGAGTCGTCATATCGCAAAAACACTGCTTTACCAAGCAGTGCCCCTCCTCTCCCTTCGAGGGCCCCACCAGGGGGTAACAGGCTATGTGTCGCGTTGCTGCATACATGGTACAGTCTTTTACCAAGCAGATCGTACGCTCGATAGCGTATTCTACTGCTTTGGGTGTTGATTCTAATCTGTCAACAATAAGCTCTCGTAGACACGCCATGCGACAACAAGCCTGGCATCCCCTGATACCCCTCAGATGAGCCTCAACGCGACCAGACACAAGCGCTTTGTCAGTCCATAGTTTGTACGCGACCACAGGCCCGCCTCCCTGTTAGCTTTACAGCTGCTCCGGGTACTACGAGGGCTTATGTTCCGCATAGCTTCCGCCACCCGTTGGTGTCGTGGTGGCTCATGGTGGGAAATGCGGTGAGCTCACCCCATTATCACGCGAAGAGACCTAGAGTCTGGAATTCGGTGGCTGAAAGCTGTTGAAGTGGACGTTGGGACCGCAAGTGCTAGCTCGTTTCAGTTGCGAGAATTGACCCGATTGCGCTACTCTGTGATTCGACCATTCGACAATCAGCTCATTGGTGGCTTTCCAGTTAGGAGGTCTCGTCGATATGGGGTGCTGGGATATCGTCGCGTTATCCGATCGCCCGTACCGTCTACCCAGGTTGTAGTGAACGCAAGTTTAAGCCTAGAGGGCCAATCATTAAAGGGGTCTGCTTGGCGTGGTCTTATCGACAACAGAGAGTAAAGCCGCCGGGGAACTTAGTGGGGCCGGCTTTGGTCACCTCCATCGTGAACCCATTTCCTGAGTAACCGAGTATAACCGTAGTAGTGATAAGTGTAGTGTTCGGCTGCTTGTAACCAGAAAGCCAAACTCGCTCATTCGTTCACAAAAGGACCGATATGAAGAATTGGTCGTACGATAGTCGCGTGAACACATCGCGATAGTGCCAAGCGATCCTCGCTCAAAGCCTTGATGTCATTCATCTCTTGTATCTTTGCATCTAATCAACCTCAAGTCCCTGCTAGTTGCTTGATAGTAGAAGGTTCGACGGGCCCAAACTCCAAGGTACTTCTTGTTGTCAATACTGGGATAATGCCGCATTCGCTAATTGGATGACAGTTTGGACGGGTGGAGGTTCGTGCCATATCAGTACGATTTGATGTACGATGAGGTGTCAATGCACATTCGAAAGACGATACTGGCTGAGTTTAACGACATGGCGGCCATGATCCACGTGAAAAGTGGGTAATGGCGTAACTCAACCATATTGTGCAACAAAGACGATAGTCGTTGCATCCAGCTAGCATGATGAGTTGTCAGCAGGAGCGAACAGCAGGAGCCTGCACAAGCCCAGCACGTGTTGTGTAAGAAGGGAATGACGCGTGGTCAGTAGATCTACAGCACTATCAGCCTACCCGACCGAAATTTGAAATACCAGAGTTGATGGTTACTAGGTTCCACCGTATCGAGGGGTAAATACTAACCTGGTAATGCCGAGACACGCGCTCCGTACCAACGCTTGCTCCCTCCGTATGCGTATTCCCGGAGCTCTGGGTATAATCGCGTAAACTGCTGAAGCGAGTGTAGCGTTCTCACGTAGTGAGTAGCGAGTGGTCCATACGGTGTAGTCTAGACGACGGAAGGCAGGCTAACGTTGAGCTTCGCCGTCAACGGCGCAAAGATGCGGGCCGCGCTTGCCTGCAAAGCACATGTCAAAATCTGAGGCCTAAATCGACGTGCGGTTGCTGACTGTGTCTGTTAAGCGCCCGACGACACGATTCACGAAAGACGCTCCGAGCGAGACGGACGACTCAGACAAGCTGTTCTCGTAAGTTCCGGGAATATCACCTCCCGCATGCGGCGCATACACTACAGCAGGCCATAGTAGTGTCTAAATTGTCATCCGCTCTTGAGGCATGCACAGTGATAGTGCCGCTCGACTTCACGAGAAATGGCGGCGGCCCCCCACTGCGTTTCTCAGCTGCTGAACTTCATCGTCGGGAACGTTCTATGCGACGAAAGTCCTGGTATTGGACTGACGGTTCCTGCAGGCCCATCAACCTGGTCTTTTGAACAGCGTCGTGACCTGTCCGCACGCAGGAACGTACCATGGTACTCGGGATTCCGGCTCGGTCCAGCAACCACGTCGCGTTAGAAGACCGGGGAACATGTCATGGGAAAGAGAAACCCCCGTTCGTTGAAGTCAGCGCCAAAATCTGGGGTCCGAATGCGCTATGCACTTTGAAGTTCTCGTAGATATCAAGTGATGCGCCACCTGGTGGATACCGGTCTTTGTCTCGCCTCTTAATCAACCCCACTTGCATCGTGGTACAGAGCACTATCAGCGCGATAATTCGGTCGGTGGCTGCTGATACTGATGCTGTGTTACTGACATGTTTAGGCCAAATGTGGGGATGGGGGCCGAGTGGCATGAAAGTACATCAGGGCCTAGGCGCAAAGGTCAGAAGAGATTGAGAGGCTTGTGTGAAAGGTAAAATTGCGCTGGTCGGCATGTCCCGTGGATGGAAGGTACGAGTCGGCGACGAGACTTCAGGACGCAGGAACACGTTCGGCAGATGTGAGTGAAGGGTAGTGTATATGTTCATGAAGGAGTTCATGGGATTTTGTCCTGCAGGGGAGCGTGGGGAGGGCTCCGAGACGTTCCCGGGCCATCTGCCGGGTCCGCAATCGCAATCGTTTCACGTGGTCTAGATGTTCTCGGTTAGCACCAACGCTATCGATCATCTCGACTCCGGGGATGCGGCCGCCCGGCAACTGCCTCTAGCACGATCGCGGGAGTTGGAATAGAGCTAACGGTGAGCTTCCGTGTTGTCCCTGATATCAATCGCATGAAGGGGATTATTGGCATCGTCTTTGTTGTTGGCGATGCGGAAGTTGCGAGTGGCTTGTCGCCCACATGTCATGAGGTGAGTGGCTCATCGCAGTACCACAAGAAGCTGATTCGGGGTAGCCTTTTCTGAATCAGCAACAAATAATCTAAGAGGAATTCTCGAAGAGGCCTTCGATGAGCGCTACTCTATAGTATAGCTTCCTTTTCCATCAGATCTCATTCACGGTGCTGTAGCCGGCAAGAGGACGAAAAGGCGATATTGTCACAGGGCTTACTTCCGCATTCCCCGTTCATGCTAAAGAATCGCATCTTAGACATAGTTTCACCCCAGGGACCAAAGCTTAATAGTCGATGGGACCAGGATTTCTCAACAGCTACCACCATGCTGGGCATCTCTCGGCGGCGGACGAATAGGACTCGCCATTCACATCCATGGGTTTCAATCGAGGTGTCATGTGCCTTTCGCATGAGCGGGATTAGACCGCACACCAATTCGTATATACCGCTATCGCATACAGCAATTCGCGCTATTCAGTGTCGCTTTTCGGAGATGGACGCATCTCGGTGACCGACGGCGAAAGACAATGGCGTGTGAATATGGCCTCTTTCAAATTGGCGAGGTGATACACGTCCAGAAGCGTGCATTTGGACGCTAGGTCTCACAGCCATCCTGGAAGCCACGATTTGTTCTTTCATCTAATTTCCTAACTCGAAAGTGAGGTCACTCGTAATGAATGTGGGACTGCGACACGCCGTTTGGCGGCTGTCAGAAACCGACTTCGCGCGATGATTGAGATCGAGAAAACAGCCACGACAAACGCCCACCGGCTAGAATTCACATCTTCTGCCCGATACATACTACCTCTGCGCCTAGACTGATATATTTGACCTAAGGATTCGGGGCTACTGATTAACAAAGACATCCGACATCATCACCTTTCTAGTGTGCCACGCTTTCCATTTTGACATCTGTCACACAGGATTAGGACTAGCATTCACCATCAGTATCTACCTTCACTTCGGTATAAAGCTCGTGTCTCCAACGCATCAATATCATCACCAACACTTCACTTCTACCATCTTCACCTCTCTCTTCTACTCTTTATCTAAGATCTCCAACATGTTCAGCACCAAAACTCTTCTTCTTGCCCTTGGGCTTGCTGCTTCCTCAGATGCTTTCTTCCGCATGTCTTGCCCGGGACGAACTGTCAGAGAGCGACTTGATCCCATTGTCAACCCTGGAGCCGTTTCTGGCCATGTCCACACAATCTCAGGCGGAGCCGCCTTTAAAGCCTCCATGACCTACGCAGACACCCGAGCTTCCAAGTGCTCGTCATGCACGATCAAGGTAAGACAGTCACCTCGTTTTGGTGCTACATGACTAACGATTTGCAGGAGGACATGTCTAATTATTGGACGCCGCAGCTTTACGTCAAATACAAGGACGGATCCGGCTTTGCTCCTGTCCCGGTCATGGGTGACCCAGACGACACCAACGGCGGCATGACCGTCTACTACCTCCAGCGTCGAGGCAACAATCAGACTGAGAAACTCCACGCTTTCCCGGAGGGCTTCCGCATGGTCGCCGGTGACCCATTCACTCGCAGCTACGACGGCAGTCTTGCCGCCCAGGGCATCTCCTTCAACTGCCTTGGTGCGAACAAACCGGAAACTAACGGTTTCCCCGACTACCCATGCCCAGGTGGACTGCGAGCCCAAGTCTACTTTCCTCAGTGCTGGGACGGCAAAACCCTTGACCCTTCCGATCACAAGAGTCATATGAGCTACCCAGAGGGCAACGTATACAACAGCGGCAACTGCCCCGCCTCGCATCCTGTCCACATGATATCGATCTTCTTCGAGATCTTCTACGACACTGCCCTGTTCGCGGACCAGTGGGTAGATGGCAAGCATCCGTTTGTCTTCGCTCAAGGAGATGCAACTGGCTTTGGCCTCCACGGCGACTTCCTGAACGGATGGGATGTGAAGGTACTTCAGAACGCTGTCGACAACTGCAACGATGCCGGGGGTGCCGTGGAAGACTGCCCAGCCGTAACCATGTTCACCGACCGAGAGTGCAACGACTGCAAGATCCCAGTATCCGTCAACGAGAAGACTAGTGGAAAGCTTGCTGCACTCCCCGGCTGTAACCCCGTCACCTATGGCCCGCAACGCGCTACACCAGGAAGTTGCCCAGACAGCACCACACCATCAACAGACGGCGACTCTACCGATCACGACGACTTGACCGCCATCCAGGGCTGGGAGTACGTTGGCTGTGGCTCCGACAACGTGAGCGACCGCGCCATGAACGGTTCATGGACCTTCAATGACTACATGTCCATTGAGATCTGCGTCGACTACTGCAATGCCCGCGGCTTCACCTACGCAGCGCCCGAGAACGGCAACGAATGCTTTTGCAACAACAGCCTCAACCCCAAGTACGCACCCAAGGCCGGTATCATGGGCTCATGCACCAAGTCTTGTGTCGGCAATGTCAACCAGATCTGTGGTGGTGCGAATGCGATGAGCATCTATCACAAGTGCACCGGCGGCACTTGCCAGAACAACAACGATGGTGGTGCGGCGCCGGTGCAGAGCAAGGCCTCCGTGGCTGCTAGGTGGATGCCCCTTTCTACTCTGGCTACGGTCGCAAAGGCTGCTGCTGCTACTCCGGTGGTTTTGTATGGGTAGATCTGGGGGTGATGCGGATAAGTTCTGCAACATTCATTTAACGGCCTTGATATATCCCTTGTAGGAGTTCTTTTCTTTGTAAATCTGCAAGCGCATCAGATATATGATTGATGAATACAAAACATTCTTTCTACTTCATCGTTCTCCTGACTTGCTTTGCTGATAACCGCCTGAGTGACTTTCCATCTAACAAGAAATATCGACATTCATAGTCAACTGTCATTTAACTCAGGAGGCGCAACACTATAGCGCGGACGGATGCAAGGTACCCGGCCGGCTAGCTTGGAGTGTGGCCTAGTTTGGTTGTCAATAGCACTAGTGCGCCAGCGCCTTGATCAGAGTGGCTGTGCAACCAGGCTGGAAAGACCCGACATAATGCATCTCAGAAGCTAGTCTCGCAATTTTATATCAAGAAGGCAGCTGAAGCAATGCCCAAGAGCACAAACTAAAAAGCATGGCTCGGAATAAACCATGTGGAGTGAAAGATGCTGGCACAGAATCTACTTCGTGAAAGCGATGTCATAGTCTTCGCATCTAAGCAAAATGCGTCCAGACCCTTATCGAAGCTTATTTTCCGAGCCAAGTAGTTGCTGTTGGTGAAAGCGTCTTAGCTCCGAGCTCCGAGACGGCGGTAACCTGTCACTCCCGTCATATTGCTTTCCCAGTATCTCCCTCTCAGACGCACCATCTTCAACCTCATAGGGATCAAGCATTCCGTGTTCTTGTAGTTCGAATTCGAAGTCTTGACGCGTTGCCGATGGTCGAGTTGCTTCAAAACTTTCGACAAAAGATGGGGCGACGTGCCTGAGGAAGAGCCGCAAGGTTGGGAGGGAACCGGTGATGATGATAAGACTAGCTTCGATGAGGCTAGCGGAGCTTGTCAGCGAGGGATGCAAAGAGCTGATGCTCGGCGAAAGCCGCGCACTTACATCCACAGACTAGGGTAAACAGTGTCCCAAGAGGCGTCTTTGGAAGTCAACATTGGAGGAAGTAATGCGACGCGCACCGCACTCGTCACGCATGTACTAGCATATGAGTCAGTCATACTCGCGTACCTGGAGCTGGAAGCTTACATCGAGCCAACACCGAAAATACCTATCACCATGATCTTCCGCTCCTTCGACATGTGCAGTCGCAAAACCATGGGTATAGGTAGGATGATGACCATGATATCTGTGATGATGTTCAGTACCCCAGTAGCGATGTACAACGCCGCTTTGTTCAAGCATTGCCCTTCTGTGACGGTCACGTCGATGTTCTTTGCAAACGGTTCGCATGCTGCGAGTAAAGAGATGACGATGCTGACAGAGGATCCGACGACAACGAATATGGTGAAGTTGACTCCAGCGCGGAAGCTGCGTGCGGGGCTCAAGTTGAGATAGAGACAGAGGAAGGACAACTTTGCGAAGGCGAGAGCTGGCGAGTACAGCACAGTGGTCGTCAGCGTTATCTAGAGTCCTGGAAGTCAGCGAACGATGCTGCCGAGCTTGCCGACGGGAGACCGACTTTTGCGATAGTGTTCAGTTGATGACCGGTAAGTTCCCAGGCATGTACACCGATCAAACCTGCGGGTGCCCTATCTGCGATGCTGTTGTTAATCTCGTTCTATAGAACGAAGAAGCAACGGGCAGAACTTACAAATGATGAGTGACTGTACAGGTATGGCAAGGACCTGCCAATCGACGACCAGCTCATGTCAGCCATGAGCTTTCATCGACAGAAGAATCGTGACCACCTACCCAGGCAAGGAGCAGGCAATCTGGCGCAGCTGTTAGTAAGGATGCACTGCGTGGATGGGGAAGACTTACAGTCGTCAGACGACAGTTTCTTAACTAATACAACTTTGGTGTACGCTCGAACAGCCAACAGAAACGTGGAAATAACCGTTCCCACGATTCCAATCCAGAGGATAATGAGTTCACCTCGTCTTTGTGAGTTCTCGAGATCTACCACATAGTCGTCTGGTGCGGGTACAATTGGCTGGGTGAGATCCGCCATCTTCCTGCGAGATTGCTTGCTGTGGAGGCAGCCCTCAGTTGGGGTGCATTAAACAGCAAGACGGGGGCATTGCTTCGATTTGAGTCTCACTGTCTCGCAGGATTCGAAACAAGCTGATTTGGTAGATCCAGCCAAATGGTAATCCACCTAAGCGAAGCAGGTTGATTGATCCGGACATTTCATGTGCCGCTATTGTGAGCGAGGCTGAAAGCATAATGCAATGCGTCCCGTCCATACTGTCCCCTGTAATGGCAATGATGAATCTCGATCTAACTTTATCGATAGCGCAATCCTTCCGACTCAGCTTGCAGGCAACGCGTTGACTCCCAGTATCGTCCATCACATCTTGGTGCGCCTGTCTCAAGGCCATCTCCATCGAGTACCTAGACTTTACTCGTATCGAATTGCCTTTCAATTACTACAAGGCGATATACGGTGACTTGAATTAGAGGTCCCGATGTGTCGCACAGCCGAACTGCCGTGGCATTGCTGCCACGCTGCTAGGGAAATCCTGCGGGACCAGGCCAGGAAAGGGGAACATGCGCGAAGGATGCAGGCGAACGAGTTGCGGGTCAATCATCGACTCAGCCGTGTCGGTACTCGATCTCATTGGATCGAGGGTTGTGTCGCTTGATAGACGGCAGAGCCGAAACGGTGTTATTCTTCCATGGGGATGCCGCCCGCAGCCGTGCTTCTGTGGACGCCAAGAGATGGCCGCGCGTTACTTGATTGGAACTAGCGCGAGCTCCATTAGTAAGTTTCTCCGATGGGTGCTGCTCCTGCCCTATTCTCTCCATGAACACGATACCTAGACTCGCCATAAACCCCACGGCAGACTCCAGATTCGATGTAGTCGAGTCAATGCCGTCGGCACGGAGGCATCTGCCGCAATGATTCAAAGAGCGTAGAGATCAGTTTCGGCTGCAGCCATCCGCGACCTTGCAGACTCGGTCAATGAGCTTTCACATCTTCGGCTGGCATCTGGTCCACCTATGAGATCAGTATCAAAAGGCTGATGATCCGAATTGTCACAAATTTCTGAGCTGTTTCGTCCTCGTTAAGGACCATTCACCGCCTGTTCTTGCATCATGTTTTGTCTGAGCTTGGCCCTGGCCGCCGCGACCCTGCTCAGCGTAACGCGCGCCCAAAACGAATCCTACTGTGTAAGCTTCATGTTGCCCAGTGATGCTGTTCTGACTTTCTTTAGTGCACAGCTCTGACCCAGAGTCCTGTAGCCAAGCGCGTAACCTACCCTGGTCAAAATGCGTACGACGCGAGTATCGCCTCTTATTTCGATGGAAAGAGCAGACTGTCGCCCAACTGTATCGTGCAGCCCAAAAACGCCGAGGAAGTGGCTACAATTGTCAAGGCTCTTACGACTGCCAGCATACAGAAGACTTGCAAATTTGCCGTACGATCTGGTGGCCATACTCCGATTCCTGGCGCCAACAACGTCGACGATGGCGTCACAATCGATCTGCTGAACATGAATGGAACCACCTACAATGCTGATTCCGAGGTAGCAAGCATCTTACCAGCGGCGAGATGGGGCTCTGTCTACGCAGCTCTTGAGCCATTAGGACGTATGGTAGCCGGAGGCCGAGGCAGTACCGTCGGCGTTGGTGGCTACCTACTAGGTGGTGGGATATCTCACTACGCACCTCGCGTTGGATTGTCTTGTGACAACGTGATCAATTTTCAGGTCGTTCTTGCCGATGGTCGCGTTGTAAATGCCAACAAGACGTCTAATGCTGATCTCTTCACTGCTCTCAAAGGGGGTAATAGCAACTTTGGCATCGTAACGCGTTATGACATGGAGACATTTGAGAACGAAGATCTCTGGGGAGGTATCGTCTCGTGGCCTGCATCCACCGTCAGCCAGCATTTCAAGTCGCTTGTCAATTTTGGTCTCGACCCGAACAGAGATCCAAACGCTGCTCTGATCCTCTTCCAAGGATACTCAACAGCGAGTCCCGTGAACGTCGTACGAGCTGCGTTCGATTACACCAAACCCGTGGCTCGCCCGGATGCCTACAGCGAGTTTCTCGCCGTCAACAACACCCTCAGCGATTCTACCAAGATCCAGCCAATGAACGCGATTGCTGCCGAGTTTGGTAGTGACACAACCAAACGGTACGTTTTCCCACTGACTTCAATGTGCGATTGTCGCTAATACAAGCAACTAGAGTTCAATTCCGTACCCTCTCATACAAGATTGATTATGAGACTCTTCAGGAGACAGCGCGTCTATACGACATCATGCTGACGGAGCTTCGAGCCAAGGCCTCTGGACAATGGCGCATCTCGTGCTTGCACCAGGTCTTTGCCACAAGCTACACGGCGAACAGTACAGCCAGAGGCGGCAACGTGCTTGGGTTGGAACGCTACACTGAAAATTTCATTATGTATCAGTCATACCTACTTTGGTCCGAGGCGAAGGATGATGACCTGTTCATTACTCAGGGCAAGATGCTGACCGCCGGCATTCAGAAGTTTGCCACAGAGAAAGGCACAGCGGTGGAGTACCTGTACCTCAACTATGCCGATAAGGACCAGGATCCACTTTCGGCTTATGGCGCTGACAAGGTGGCATTCATGAAGAAGGTCGCGAAGAAGTACGACCCGACAGGCGTCTACCAGAGTCAATTGCCGGGCGGGTTCAAGATTTCTCAGGTGTAGGATTAACAAACCTACAACAGCCTACAAACCTCAAACAAATTACCCGATTAGGAAGGTGGCAGAAAGCGTCGATCATAGCAATGTGTCTTCTTGCGTTGCACGTCGTGGAGGGCCCGGAGACCTTGCTGTCGTCGGCGCGAGGTTTGCCATGGACGCCCGCTATGGATCAGCACGTAACTTCACTGGTCGATCGAATCGGCTTCGCGTGGAACTGAAAGCTCGGCAAACGGATCAGTATGATGGCTTCCTTGGAATCATGTGCAATCTGTTTTATTCCAAAATGAACTTGTGTTGTCTTCACAAATATGTTGATGTTCTATCGAAGGTGGTGGGCCTCGCTGCGTCGGAGTCGTGAGCGGCTGCCCCGCGCAGCTAGCGACGCCAACCTCGTTGCGTCGCGTCGCGTCGCGACTTACAAACCTCATTTAGCTGCAATGACCTGATCCGCTACATGCTGGCACAACTCAACGGCCGGCTGTTTCTTCAAGATGACGAACACAGGAACCTCAACGCCGAATTGCTTGAGGAACCAGTACCGCAGCTCAACCGCAATGAGCGAGTCAACACCAAGCACATAGGCTGGCTTGCCTACGTCGAGATTCTCCGCCGGTATCGACAGCGATTTACTCAGCTTTCCAAGTAACGCCGACGTTACAATCTGCGCAGCCTCCTTCGCACCAGCGGCCGCCTTGATGAGAGCGAGATAGTCGACGGTTGCCGCCTCGCCTTCGCCGCCAGCCCCGGTGCCGTTGACCAACTCGACCTGACCCAGACGAAGGAGATTCTTGAACAGCGGCTTACCCACCCAGTGCAAAACGCCGTCTTGGAACATCCGATACAGCTTCGAAGGCTTATCATGGATGTTCACCACCTGCGCTGCGCCGCCGGCGCAATCGTAACCGGGATCACACAAGACATCCAATATCGCCATTAGCTGCTTCTGCGTCAGCCCACCCAGCCCAGCGCGCAGACTCTTCGTCACGTCCTCAAAGTTGTCGCTCGCCCACCCAGCCTCTAAGACCAAGCCGAGATCGAACGAAACGCCTTTCAGCCCACTGGCGGCACGGTGCCGCGCGAGCGCGTCTTCGAAAGTATTGCCGGCTGCATAGTTGGCTTGCGCGGGGTTGCCGATGATGCCGCTCATGGAGGAGAGAAAGACCATAAAGTCCAGATCCTTGGGCAGGAGTTCGTGAAGGTTCCACGAGCCTTGATACTTGGGCGCCAGGGCGCGGTGGAATTGCGAGACGGTCATGTTGGAGAGCATGTTGTCCGACAACACCATCGCTGCCTGGATGCAGCCCTTGATCGGCGGCAGCGTTTTGCTAGCCTCCTCGAGGGTGCTCTTGAGGACCGCGCGGTTGGAGATATCCGACGCCGGGGCGTGTACTACGACGCCTTGGGCTTCCATCTCCTTGATGAAGGCGATCACATCGGCGCGCCCAGCTACGCCTCGCGACGAGGTGACGAGGAAATGCCGTGCGCCGCGGGACGCCATCCAGCGCATGATCTCGCGCCCCAAACCGCCCAAACCACCGCTAATGACATATGTAGCCTGCTCCTCAAATGCGTACGCCGGCTTCTGCGCGGGCTGATACACGACCACATCTCCCGACTTTTCGAAATCGATGACGGCCTTCCCTGCAATCTTACCGCCCTGCAACGCGCGCATCGCTTCCTCAATCTTACTCGGCGCAAACGCATGCAGCGGCTTGGGATTGTGGAGCCCAGGGTTCGCCGCGAACAGACTAAAGACGTCGTCGAGCACGAGTTGCATCAGGGGCTTGTTCTCGGCGTACATACCCGCGACGTCCACGGCCGCGAATGTGACATTGCGCAGGAAGTGGCCCATCTCAAGCGTGTTGTTGGCGAGGATATCGGCTTTGCCAATGTCGATGAAGCGACCGAAGGGCGCTGTGCAGTGCCATGAGTGTTGGAGAAGTTCGCCTCCTAGAGAGTTCAGGACGACGTCAACACCGCGGTTGGCCGTGGCATGGAACACATCGTCGACGAAGCTCGCCTCTCTGCTGTGGAAGATGTGGTCGTCCGCGAGGCCGTAAAGCTCCCTGACCAGCTGGCGCTTCCACTCGCTTCCAACCGTGACGAACACCTCCGCCCCACGCAGCTGCGCGAGCTGTATAGCAGCCTGCCCCACAGCACCAGCTCCAGCGTGGATCAATACACTCTCGCCCTTGCGCAGCCGGCCTACATAGTCGAAAGCATACACAACCGTAGCCCATACAGCAGGAATGGCAGCCGCATCCAAGAACGAGATGTCTTCGCGTGGGATCCTACGCGTCGATGCCTCGTCGCAGCGTACATAGGTTCCACAGCAGCCACCCGTCGAGAAGATGAAGTACATGACGCGGTCCCCAGGCTGCAACGTGCAGTCTGGTCCAGCGCGGATGACGTTGCCAGAGCCTTCGAGGCCGAGACCATCACCTGGCACTTGACCCAGGGATATCATTACATCGCGGAAGTTGAGGGAAGCGGCTGCTACTTCGATTTCAACTTCACCGGGGTGCAGCTCTGTGCTGGAAGGGATGGTCTCGGTGTAGTATAGGGTGTCGAGCAAACCAGGCTGCTGGATGGTCAAGTTGATGCGCGGTTTCGGGGATGCTTGGCCAAGTGTGAAGCTGATTTTGTCGGGAAGTTTGGCGCGCGCGGCAAGGGTTTGATTAACGCTCTTCTGTGGGACGATTCGCGGAATGTGGATGAGGCTGTTATGCACTGCAAACTCGGAATCGGCGTCTGCGCTCTTGTCTCCTATCTTGTGGAAGTGCTCCAGGAGACGGACCACATGGCTCGCTCCCTCAGCTGGGTCATTGGTCTCCAAACTCAAAGTGACGAAGGCCTGATCCCCCCGCTCAGAGCAAATACTTCTCGAGAAACCGACTGCCATCTCAGCGGCGGGGTTCCCAGCACCAGGACTGCCGCCGCGTGTCAGCCAGAGGACTGTCTTGGCGTCCAAGCTGATCTTTTTGAGGGCTTCGAACTCGGGTTCTGCGATGGTGCCGAGAATGGAAGTGTCGAGCTCGAGCAAGCTGATGACTTTGGTGCTGCTCAAATCCAATCCAGCGGCAATGAGACCTTCGAGAGTGTGTGTCTCGGTCTTGCCAATCCACGGCAATGTAGTGAGCCTCGCCATTAGCGTATCGGCAGAAGTAGCCTGCGCAGCATCCGCGATGATGACCCACCTTTCAAGCGCAGCTTGAACCTCAGCCTCCTCTGGCCTCGTTGCGACGAGCGTTGAGACACGGTGCCGAGGTTTGTACTCGTTGTCCCTAAACACCATGTCGACACCTGAGAAGCCCGCGGTCTTCAGCGCAGCATCCCATCCTTCTTCGGTCAAAATTGGTCCCAACGCCTCGTCTTCTCCGGGTACGGCGTCAACATCTTCGCCTTCCCACCAGTGGCCCTCGCGCATCCACCACCCTGGAAGCAAGCCGAAGATGATGCCGTCGCGGATGTTGTCGACTGTGGTCTCCATCATGATGAGTTTTCCGCCAGGGCGCAAGAGAGCGTAGAGATCGCGGAGACACTTCATGAGATCCGATGTGGTGTGAATCACGTTGCAGGCCATGATCACGTCGTAGCTGCCGAGCTCGAAGCCCTGGAGAGAGGGGTCGATCTCTAAATCCAGTTTGGCGAAGCGCATATGCTTCTCTGCGAATGCGAACTTCTCGCGAGCCTTCTCAAAGAAGCCGACTGAGATGTCGGTGTAGGCGTACTCACTGAAGCGCACCAACTGATCAGCCTGAAGACCTTCATCATCTACCAGAAACGGTAGCACTTTGGAGGTGGCACTGCCAGTTCCTGAGCCAACCTCGCAGATCCTGAGCTGAGGATTCGCGTGTGCAAGGATGTTCATATACGCGCCAGCCTTACGGTAGTGGCGCGAGTAGAAGTCGCAGTGGTAGAAATCTGTCACCATGTCAGTCTTTTTGTTTCTATCTCCACAGTATGTGTTATTGAACTTACCATTAGCAAGATTGCCTTCAAAGATAATCTGCAACGCATTGTCCGTTCCTGTCAATATCCCATAGAGATGTTCACCAGCCTTCTTCACAAGCTTCTGTGTCGGCTCGTCGTCCGCCTCACGCAAGACATCCTCGATGCTCAAGTGCTCCAGTCCCCGCGACGCCAATGTGTACTTCTCCCTATTTGCACGGACCTTGCGGAGGAAGTCCACGTACTTGGTCAGGTGGTTGTCAAACGTCACCGGCTCGCCATTCTCGATCTTATCCAGCGCTTGCTCGATGAAATACAGTGCAATAGCGTCCGCGCGGTCGACAGCCTCAGCGTCTTTGGGATCAGGTGAGAATTGCGGGTCGCGTGCGAAAACCGCCTTCAAGTATGTCTCTGTCTCAGCTTTGCTTAGCAGCGAGAGGTCGGGCTTGAAATCAATGCCGTACGAGAAACGACTTGCACCATCATCGTCACGCGTGCTGCTACCTGCACCGGCAATGACAGTTCCACGCTCACCCTTGGCAACCATGACAGGCTCGCCTGTCTCAGCAAGCAACGTGCTAGCATCCCACTCAAATTCTCTGAATGTGCGAGCCACTTCCTTCGTCGCCACATGAAGCAGCGGATTGCCAGGGAGTGCGAATAGCTTGTGCGACACCCACAGATCCTTGAGGTTACTGAACATGAGCGTTGGAATTGGCTCCCAACCACCCATACTCAGCGAGACAAAGCCCACGTGGAAAACTGAGTCAAACGTTGTGGGGTGAATCACACACGGGTCTTCGGTGGCATACGGCATACTCTTCGCATAATCTCGCAGTGCAAGAGTGCCAGTCGCACACCCATTGCGCGAGTACTTGATGTCTCGCAAGCCCTGGAAATACGGTCCATAATCGAATCCAGATTTTTTACTCAGATTTTCGTACAGCTGCGCACTTTGCACACTCAGCGTACATTGCTTCGCTGCGCTCGCGTGCTCTTCGCCCACAGCTTTTGCCCATCTAGTCTTGCGTGCAGTTGTCTCTGGAGAAGGC